TGATTAAGATACCTGGAAGTTCCAAGAAATAAGAAAATGTCTCAAATAATCGATTAAAAGAATATAATGGGTTCGAATATAAAATTTTGGAAGCATCTTAAAATCATTTATATACAACGTAATACTCAAGAGACATTAGAATAAAGTACTCAAAACTGAATTATTTCGATTTACTGAAAAGAACATGCTCGCTCTCATATATTGAGTCACTTTTCCTTTCAAATAATAGATTAAATCTTTTATACTCTGGTAACAATGAAAAAAAAAAGGTATCTAGTCAAAAGAACGGATAGGATTTAAAGTTCGGAAATTGAAGCGGGCGAATCATAAGGAAAAAATGAATAAAACTCATAAAAAGCTTAAAATCGCTTGGCTTAGAGAAATGGCAAGTATTACATTCAAAAATACTTTTTTTTTCAGACGACAATTTCTCATAAGGATTTTTGTCGGACCATTTTTTTTTTAAAAAAGGAACTCGGAAATTTACTTTTCTTTGGCATCCTTGAAGTAATTTTCGTGAGATTAATCTTTTGTTATCATTCTGAATAATAAGTAAGATAAAAGAGTGATCCGCTTTATGCAGCGACAAAATTTGCATAATTGCGCGAATTTAAGCAAAGAAATTCATTTCTATAGCGAGAGAAAACGGAATAGCTGTTCTATCCTCACCCCCTCCTTCCGTACTTTTGAGCTTTAATTACAGTTTGGAGATTGAACACACTTCTTTTTTTTTGTTGCTGTTTTTGGACATGAAATAAAAATTATGATAAAACTAGACAAATCATTAAGGAAACCAAATACAGTTCCAGATGTAATAAGCATTTGTAATCAAATCGTCTCGGTTTTATAAAATAGATTCTCATCAAACATTTTGATGATATGAGATGGTGAGAGCAGCATTCAATTCAAGGCTTAGAAACTGCGATTGCATTTTCTTTTTATGAGATAATATTTATACGTTATAGGATTAAAGAACATTAAAAAGTATTTCGCTTAGTAAAATGCATAATTAACCAGTCTAAAAGTGTATAACTTCTTAAATTAATAGTCTAAGCATTCTTACATTAATAGTCTTCTTACATTAACTATAAAAAGAGTATAGCATATCTTATCTTTAAAAATCGACCATAAGTAATAATAAAATAAATAAATAAAAAGAAAGAAAATTTGAAAGGATTCATATTTTAATGTCTCACCAGAGGATTTATTAAAGTTTTTTATGCGCTTGTTGAAATCGGAAGTTACCGGTCTGCTCTTGCACTCAATCCTGCAGACACTTTTTTTAAATCTTTTTAATTTTACTATTGAGCATCGCTTACTTCGTATTTACATAAACTTAAGTATTTAAAAACAGCAGATCTTTAGAATTCTGGATAGAGTGTTAGGGGTTGCCATACATTTATTTCTCTAAAAACCAGCCGCTCCAAAGGCCAGCCGTCTGTAAAAGTGATTATGAAAAAGAAAAACGTGTATTTAGTGTCATTTTTTTAAAATATTTAATATTTTTAGTTAGACATCTCATGATTTAAATGCATTTTTATTGAAACCAAATCAGATTAAAAAGTATTTTTCAATCGCTTGGTTTGCTACCCTGTAAGAGAAAGATTAAATTTGAAAGTTAAATAACTTAAGCTTTACTTAATGGCAACACGCTGGTGTACGGTGATAATAAGTATTTTGTCTGAGGCAGTGGCATCATATTGCTTTCAAATATCCGAAATTGTGGATTAATATTGAGAGACAAATATCTTACATTTTGCCAGATGACAACAGTCTAGCTCGTTGGGGATTAAAATGTTTTATTTCGAATAGTGCTGCTGCAGTTTGCTTTTAAATCCCTAAACTTGTTAAACAAAAATTCGTTGAATTTTTACAAGATATGAAATAATTTAAAATAAATTTCAAAATTGAAAATTCTGGCTTTGAGGTGCTCATGCTCTGGTAGAAGACTATGTATATCAAAACTTTAGTGGCTCTAGTTTTCACAACGCAAGGAGCACACATTATACATACGTAGGTAAGTTGAAAAATAAGTTTCCCTTGTCGACTGTGGTCAGAGTTGTGTATGAAAGTCAAAAAATAGAATGAGACATTAAAGATATGACATACCTTTATTTTTCCACATAGGTACCAAGTACATTGAGACATTTGTCATATCGCTTGATAAGCTTCAAAAAGCCCTCCAGGAAAAAATCAGGGCTTTGCATATGGAAGAAGCGTTGAACGACTTGTTTTTGGCGTGAAATGGTGGACCCACGTTTCATCCCCCCGTCACAATCCGAAACAGAAGTCATTGCCATCTTCATGGTAACGCACGAGATGTTCCAGGCTGACCCCCATGCGTTGTTCCTTGTGTGTCGAAGGAGGTGGTCAAAGGAGGAAGTGAGAGCGGTTATCCGCTATGAATGGGCACGTGGAGTATCAGGAACAGAAATTCATAACCGCCTCGTGGAAGTCTATGGGCCAGGTGTGATGTCGAAGCAAATGGTGCGGAGATGGTGTCGCACATTCAAGTGATGGACGTCAGCAAGTGGAGGACATTCCGAGAGCTGGACGGACGCGCACGACCACTACAGATGCAAATGTCAGGAAGGTGGATGACATGATTAGAGCGAACCGGCGATCGATCACCATCGATGAAGTAGCGGAAGAACTTGGAATCTCACACGAGCGAGCTCAAAACATCATCCACGACATTCTTCGATACAGAAAAGTGTCAGCACGATGGGTGTCCGACAATTGACCTCGACACACAAGGAACAACGAATGGGGGTCAGCCTGGAAGATCTCGTGCGTTGCCATGAAGATGGCAATGACTTTCTGTTTCGGATTGTGACGGGGGATGAAACGTGGACTCGTTGCTCGGACTCGTTGCATTATGTATTAATTACTAAAATTAGGACTTGATGAGTCATTTTTCGGTTACTTGTACTACAACTCAATAAGCCTTGCATCTGTTATGAACTAGAGTTATAAACTGGGATTTGATATTTACCAGTTACTGAGACTTGGATTTGATGAGTACTTCATCAATTAATTGCACTAGGACTCGAAGAATCATTTGTCCAGTTACTCAGATTTCAAATCAAATCACTTATACTTGGACAAAGATTCGATGAGCCAAATTCATCTGTTACTCGTGAGACATTTATCAAATACTCGGTGTCGTACATAATACGACATTTATCAGGTACTCTAATGCAGACTTAATGAGTCTTTTATTATCTACTCAAATTCAATAATAGGATCGAGACAAGACGAGTACCAGTTTTAGTTTTTCACAGTTGCAATATTCATACCAATTTTGTTCACAAAATTTCATTTTGTTGAATAGTTCGTTAATGGCCCGTATTAATGTTCTATTTATTTGTTTAATAAATTATGGCAAAACGTGCGGGGACTACTTGCCTACGCAAAGGAACTTATTTGTTGAAGGATTTTGTGGTAAAATGGCTTATATTCAGGTTACACAAAAGGAAAACCCCAAAACATCCAAATAACCGACTGTCCTCCATGAGTCAAATTACTAGTATTCAAAGCAGCATACAGTCGTCCCTTGGTGGGTTTGGTCTTACTACAGTGGAGCTGACTGCTCCCCCATTCCTTGATCTATTGAGCAAATTGGCAGGTTATTTAAGTTACATTAATATATTCGAAACAGTTCAAGTAATTTTGATGAAGAAATTAGTCGAAATTCGTTAAGTTATTTTAGACTGTTTTTTTTTTTCGAATATTAAAGGCTTCATAGGAAAAACATTTTTGTATTTTCTAACAAATTTAATGATTAGGAGACAATGTCAGTTTATTTTTCTTTCCAATTTCGGGCACTATAACGGTATTGGGCCCTCGTAAGAGTCAGAAGTGGTGGCCATTTTATTGTGGAGGCACCTAATAGGCGGCAACCATTGCCTCCTGTGAAGGGATAGACAGTTTTACATCCATGCCTTCTCCGGGATTCGAACCCTAACCTTTCGGCATCTCAGTCAAGCTTCCCTAACCACTATACCGTCTCGGCGGCTCCAATGTCAGTTTATTGAGAGTAAAACAATTCTAATGAGGATGTCGAAGGACATGACTACCATGAAAATGGAAAGAAAATTAGTAATAAATATCAGTACGAAATTGTAATCAATTAATACATATTTTGTATTAATTTCCTAATGTTCTAGTACAAAATTCTTCTAGGAAATAAGAATATATGCCACTTGTAAGCACTCAGATATGAAAATGTTGTCACATTGTACTATGCTTCATCAAACATCCAACCTTCGGGGCCCACCAGCGGCCGAGGGGTAAAGTCGCCGAACACTGGTAGTTCGGTCCGAGGTTCGAATCCCGCGAACGGGCTGGCTGCATGGGTGTTTTCGTGGTTTTCCCCATGTGTAACGTGTATACGAGCCAGTTTCCCTTAGAAAGTCCTCCACGAAAGGCTCCTCTTAGTGTGCTTTGCCATAATTAAATACACCACAAATACACCACATCCAACCTTTGTCAGCAGCTGTCAAAAAATTATTCTACGTGGCTGCAAAATTCTGTAATAAAGTACGAATGTGCCGATGATCACTCAAGTCCTGAAAATCCGTGCCTATGTCTTCAGCTTTTATGGGCCACAATCAAAAGAGTCTGTAATTTCTCATAATCCTGTTTTTACGTATGAAAACGAAGATATTTTGTGTCTGAGGTCCCCAAAATGAATGTTGTCCTGGACTTCCAAGCTATTTTAGTCGGCCTCTGAAAACATGTTCAGTATTGTCTGAGGCGTCAGTAATGCCTAAGTCACTTATTGATACACCAAATAATACCAAGCTTACAAAGCAGTGATGCTAGATACATTTTTCAATTAAATAGTAATTTAATTAATTCCATTTATAGAAAGTTATTTACAAAAATGTGATTTGAATGTAATAACAGAATTTTCAGATGCGCAAATGAATACATTTGTTTGGTAATGTGCATGTTAAATAGTGTAATAAACTCTAGACAGTATTCCTTAACTCTAGATGGCAACCAGGTTTATCCGAAGCACTGCGGCTGCGCGAGCAGAACAGCAGAACGCTCAACGTTGTGACTCAGGAGAGAGATCTGAAGCTCCACCAGCTAACTAGGAGATTTTTCGTCTGCCGAGGCCAGGTGTGACGGATGCTAACATGGCCCGTTTTTATCGTCCCTGAACGTGTTGCCGACTTGGAAATTTATTAACATTTCTAAATGTGTGAAATTAAAATTTATGTCTGTGTCTTTATGTGTTCTGATGGTTTGTGAATAAAAAATTGACACATCACTAATGTGTTTCAGGTCCCCAAAAGATATCAGGGCATTGCAGGAAATGGCTCTCAAAGGGCTGCTTGTACCGCCAAGTTTAGTTTAGTTAAATAAATAAACGTTATTAAAATTATGAACAGTTGTGTCTAGTAATAAAAAATCTGATGTGTACACCACATGACTTCCTTGTACGGAATATTAAATTATACGCATTTTTTTGTGAATTTCATTTAAATTGATTGGATTGAATTAAATCTACTTCGTCGACAGCGCATAAACCACAATAGAATAAATGCACTCTTTAAAATTCACTATATTTGTTTACTATAACGACGCTCTGAATGCACAAAATTTATATCATTTGAAGAATTATCGTTGCCACTTGTTCTATTCAAATACTATAATAAAGCTAAAACGATGTATGAAAGAAATTAAGCAAACAAAACAGAAAAGAAACAGTTTTTCACAGACGATTTAGTATTTCTCATTCAATTAATTCAGCTCTCACTTTGCGACAAGGCAAAAATACATAAAAACTCAAAATATCTGCATTAAAAATTACGAAGTAAATCTTAAACACTTATTTCCTCGAAAAAATTCCACAAAGGATTAAGCATGATTTAATTCGCAATAATAAATGAAGGCGTTATTTTTCTGTTGCGAAGCTTATTCTCTCTAGATTGCCAACAAATCTACAATTCTGCTGTTTCAAATGCAAACAAATATGTCCGTCATGTTATTTAAAACTTAACCGCACTCAAACAGCTTTTAAATTGTTGCTAATTGTACAAATATTGCTTCCAGAATTATGAAAGGCATAAAAACCTTAACCGGAAGATAAAAACAACATAATACAATAATTTTTAAAGCAAAAAATGTACAATTTACAAACATATAAGAGTAAAGAAACTGAGATTACTGAGACGGGTAACAGAGTGGATATATATATAAATATATTTATATACGTTTGGTGCGGCCGATTGCAACCAAAATACGAGGTGCATATCTACGTGCTATACCAATTGTAGAAAAAAGAGATAGAGGGCGCTGCGCCGCCCGTATGTTTAACTAATTAAGAGTTTCGGGAGAGAGGGTTGAGAGGTTGATGAGAGTGGTTGAGAGTGACATAAACTAGATACTCTGTAATCTGTATATAATATTTGTACATAGTCTTCTCTTCATTAAATAGATTTAGTTAAAGGAAAGTGTCTTTGTTTGGCCAATAGAACACAAGAACCACCGATAAAGAAGATGTAAGTAAGTTATTACACCAGTCCTATATACAAAATTTCAACGTTCTTGAGGCTACTCGTTTTTGAGTTATGCGAGATACGTACGTACGTACGTACATACGTTCGTACAAACGTTACGAAAAATTCTCTTCAGAATTGATTTTAAAGCAGTTTTATAATTTGTTTGGAGAAAAAGTGTCTTTTATGTCCTTACGCACAGATATGACGCAAAAACATCGTTAAATTGCATTCGATAACGGTCAAAATGGATATTTTCGTTGAAATATGTTGCCTGAAACTTTTCGCGATTACAATACTTCCTTTTTACTTCTTACAAAGAAGTAAAAATGACTCACATTTGTATTTTTAAACCACAAATACAAAGGCTGTTCGTACATTTTTAGAACATTTCCATTGTAATTACAGATATATTTTACTTAAAATCTTTATGTTTTAAATGTTCTATTTGATAACCTTTATTCTTCGCCATCTTTATACACCATAATTTCCAAGACAATAAAAATAAAGCCTTTTCTAATATCGGAAGAGGTATTTTATTCCATAAGGAGGGTTGTAGATTGGCGTTTGGATAACCCGCTTTTTAAAAGTCCGAAAGCTCAAAAGTGCATCGGTGATAGAGATTTGGTAGGGAAATGAGTGAAAGGTACGGCCTTGATACAAATTCCTTGTTCCATTTTTTTCCCAGGAAATTAACAGTGGATTTTGACGTGCGGTTTCTTGCTTTGTCTTGATGCAGTTTTACGGATTGATGGTACTGTAGGTAAAAAGAAAGTACTTCATATTTCAAAAATTGGGTATAAAATATGTTCCTGATAATACGCGGAGTTGACCTTAACAGTTTTCTGCACTCTCTTTAATATTTATTTGTCGTTATATCAAAACCCAGCAGCAATCATAAATCTCTTTGAAAAACTTGCTTTAGATTCTTCGAACCATGATCTAAGATTTTTTTCTCTGGATTAAATGGATCTCATTAAAAGCACGCAAAAATCGTCTATTGTGACAACATTTTTCCATTTTTGTCCCGATAAATGTTTCTCATAAAGAATTTTCCAGTGCGTTCTGCGTTCGGCAATATGTTGTGGAGAAAGACGATGCACATTATGTTTTTTTTGTCATTTTAAGATTAAAATCTGCATTATTTACTTTGTTTGCAGTTGACGTTGAGTATTTTAATGATTTTGCAGATTTTCTTTCAAAGATGTTGCCTTTGCAACATTCTACAACATTTTTTTCTTGGATATATATTTGGAATAATATTTCTGCTTGACGACCAAACTTTGACGCTTGTTTCCTTTCTGGCTGACAGTAATACCTGCTTTAGAGCTAGATATCGAAACACCATGGCTTTTACAGCGTTTTTTTAATTACTAGATACGAATAACTTTCTTTGGAAAGAATTTTGTTTGAAAACAAAATTATCAAGTAACAGATGATAATTTATAATTTTAAAAATATAGTTGCAGCTAAAAAAATTCTAAGCAGAAGAATGTTTTAACAGCAAAACAAAATCGTCTGACTAATAGCCTCTGCAAAAATAAACGATTTTAACAATTGTTTATATTTAGATTAATACTTTTAAACTAAAGAATATAGTGAAGTTCACAGTTGTATGTTAACATTAATATATTTGATCAGAAGGAATTGTAGAGTCATTAGGTTAATTGGAAAAGCCAGAGAGATGAAAAATTACCAACGCCTTTGCCAGGAATAGAACTACGGACCTCTGTGTGCTGACCACTACACTACGAAGGCGGGAAAAATACCTTATACGCTCCCCCTTTTAAAGGGCGACTAGGGTTTTCAGGGGACCCAATTGCCAAATCCTGGGTGAAGATAATCATCATTCAACACCCTCTTAGGTCGGGCGCCACTGTAGAGACATTAGGATTTTTTGGAAGCAGACAAGATGCAAAATTAGCAAACGCCTTCGCCAGGAATCGAACCACGGACCTCTGAAATACCGCCTAGTGTGCTGACCACTACACTATGAAGGCACGCTAGGAAGACGGGAAAAATACTTTATAGAATTACAAGAATTACTGACAAAAAGAGTAAAGATTTAGCAAAGAAATTAGGAAAGCTGGCATCTGCAGTTTCAGCCACTCTGAATGTTCTTGGACTGTGATTTGGATTCGTATTCGGTTTTTCGAATTTGGACTCAATGTTTTTTGTTGTTTTCTGACTTATCTCACTTGTCGGACAGTAACATCAGAACAAGCCCACGAAATTTATCGTGGATAGGAATGCAAAGCTGCGCCTATTGTTGGCAAAAGCCTTGAGCACCATATAGGTAACTGTTTATCAAAATTGGGGGGCAAAAGTACGACTTTCTGCTCCTAAGTTTGGCTACCAGCAACCTCTCGAGAGGACTTTCGGCTCGCCGCATACCTAGAGTGCCCCCATGCCGCACAGACACTATACATTTACAAACTCCATGCCTTACAAACATCCAATCGAACCCAAGCCCCCTCCAGTACGGTAGATAGAGCAGCAAACCACTGTGCCGGTTGGTTGGGCGGCGGATTCAGTATTTTGGACCGAATTCAGTTCAAATTTTCTTTATCCTAAAGATGAGTCGTCAAAGCCTACGTAAAGCAAGAATTTAAAGTTTTAATCAGGTATAATAACTTCCCTAAATAATTTTCCCTAATAATTTCCCTAATTCCCTAAATAATTTTCCCTAATTCCCTAAATAAATTTCTAAATGAATTTTGTTTCGAAACTATTCCGTCATATAAGAGAATTCAGCATCTGCGAAACGAGATCCTCAATGGTCAAACCTTTTAACCTGTTGAGGGAAAAAATATAATAATAAAACGATAAAAAGCAATTCTTTTACTAAACTCCCGCGCTTAGTTTTTTTTTTACAGAATCATTACACAAAGCAAACAACTTCTTGTTTAGCTTTTACTCCTCGTTTACAAGGCTACTGAGACTGCGAAAAAAATTAATGAATTTCTCCTTCAGTGGCAACGTGAGATATAAAAGCATACTTTCTTCTCAGCATTATCTTTAATACTTTGTACTTTTAATCTCTGTTTCACAGCAGGAAATCTTGTTCCACTCAGCTACAACTTAATTACAAAGCTTTTTATCAACCTGTTCAGAATTCCGATTGCTCAAATGCTTCTCTGACTGCGGTTGTGTCTAAATGTGAGCGTGTAAAGAGGATATAAAAACGAGGGAGTCGAAGTTTTTTTCCTAAGCTTTTAATAATTAGCTAGGATATTCACGGTATTACGAATAACATTTCTGACACGATGGACAAAATTAATGAAATTCCTGGGAATTCAGGGAGGTGTGTGAAAATTACCGTTGCGAAATTTATAGACCCGAGAGGATACTGAGAATATTCTTTAAAATATATTTATATTTACAGTACAGCATGCATTAAAATAATTGATGATTTTTGAAAAAGAAATAAATACTAGTAGAAACTGAAAATTAGTATTATGTCATATATACAGTGGTTCACAAAAATGATCGAGAACTTTGATTTTTTGTATTTTTTAATGAACATAAAAACAAAAAGAAAAGCTTTTATTTTAGTTACATATAAATTCAACATTTTTTGTACAGTAAACACATTTTCGAAAAGATTAAAATTAAATTCAAAAATCAATATCATTTGTTTAACGAGTAAAAATATTCTCACAAAATAATCGGACACTTTTAGTAACAGCCAAAAATGACATCGCTTTTGCTTCTTAATATCTTGTAGGATAACCTTTACACTTGTTAATTTCATTTAATCTTTTGGC